TAGAGAAATCAATGCTACACGTTGTCCGAATAAAGGAGGTTTTTCTTATATATTTGAATGAAAAAAAAAATCAATGAAACTATAACCGCATGTCTAATGCAGTCATACTACCACCTTCAATATCACAGACATAATGTTTACCATTTTAGGTCGAGAAAACCAAAACAAAAAAATAGTCACAGATATCAACAAAATTATTTGCCCTGTACGGATGGCAATGTTAGTTAAATAATAACCTTGCATATAATATTCGAACGAAATAATTAAATCCAACAGGTTTTAAATTCGAAAAGTTTTTTTCTTTTTATGGTTGCATATAAGTTGATTCCCGTGTAGGTACTTTTTTACTTGCACTGATACCGGCGAATTAATTCCGTAGCTGTGTACAAATAGATTCACGTAATTATTATTTTGTTGTTCATTAACGAAAAAACAGGTATTTTATTGAATTTTATTCTTTATAAGTTTATGTCAATTTATTTTAGACATTAGTTGTTGTAGTCGAACATACTATAATTGTATACGCGTTCTCCAGTACCACTGCAGCTGTTAAGTTCAACATAAGTTAGTAGTGTCGTCGTTTGCAGTCAATTTCTGAATAAATATGGAGTTTATAACAAGCGAAAAGTATAAACCATTAATACTGATAGATGCATATCAGTATTGTTTTCATAAAATGCTATCGAAATATATCCAACGTTGGATTTCAGTAAGATTTTAGTAAGTGTTATTTAAAACTCAATTTTAGTAATAAAATTGCAAAAAACAATATCAATCATAACAATGACAAAATTGAGAAAAGTATTATTAGGTGGCAACCCTGAGTAATTGTTTAAAGAGGAAGGCCGTGAAAAATATTTTTGAAAATTTTGACAATTAGTCATATTTTAATTAATTATGTTATATTAATTATCATATTACCATGATTCAAAATATGAAAACGCTTAAAAAATAAAAATAAAAATAGTTTGGGAAACTCCTTGTGTTTTGGTCAACCTCCTCATGGTATCTCCTAGGTAACGCTAAAAGGCCGAAATTATTCATATTTGGAAATCAATCCATACCTGCTTTAAATGAACCCGGGAATCAATTAATTGATACGCCCCCAAATTAACCCGGGAATCAACATATACATAAATTACGTCTCAGGAATCAACTCACCAACATAATTGTTTTTCACCTTTTAAAATTTTTTTATTTATTCTTCAATATATCATGAAAAAATGAAACAAAGAAAATATGTAAACATTACGTAAACAAATTTTACGTGCAAAAACATACACCGATTCAATTGATCATAATTATAATTTATAAGACATGTTTTATTATACAGGTCAGGTAGGAAATATTCAAGGACTGTCAAGTCCGGAATATTATTGTATTAAGTAGTCCAAAACAATACCTACTGAAAAATTTAAAAAATAATCAACTATTTAAAAATTGATGATACTACGAATATCCTATGAATTACTGATTTTATCAATTTACCATTTCTGATCGTGGGCAAATTTGAGATTTATGTTACTGATTTTCAATTAAATACAGTTTAAACTTTTTGATGGGAAACAAAATAGTCACGCGATTTTAAAATATACACACGATTAATAATTGTACTAGTATAGGAAAGAAAATACGTTTTTATACAAATAATATAATAATACTAGTTGGCCTCATAACATATTTATTTTTACAAGTTAATTATTATCTAAATTATATCTAACAATAATTATTATGGTTTGTAATATACAAAGAAACACAAATGTAAACATACGATTCATAAATTCAATAATATTAAACTTAATAAGAATCAACAAAGGTCCAATGACAAATCTAATAATGATTCGAGTGTAAAGGAACCAGTTTTTCTTTTCGTCCTACAATTTGATTTGAATAAATTTTTTACAAGGTCTATCATGATTCAATGAACATATGATCTTCAAAATGAAAACCTGATTTAAATATAGTGATATTCAAATGGTTATAGTAAATAAACTTAACCAAATTACTATCGTAATCACCTACCTTTCATAAAGGATGTAAGGAAATAGTATCGAAATCACTTTATTATCACTTCAGTGTCAGTCCAATTTATAATACCTACTGCTAAAGGTTAATACAGACCGCTCACACTACAAAATCACTCATTTAATGACAATTGCCAATAAATAATTATAAAAATCAATAATGAGGAATTTTATTTGAGTCCTTAATTTTTTTAAGAAACATTCTTTACAATGATCTATTAAATTGAATGGAATTGTTTTTCAATATTTACAATTTATGTTTGCTGGCAAGTTATATTAATTACTTAACGCTTAAATACACACAGTGTCACCTCATTTTATTTAGATTCGCAAAACAAAGGCACGAAATACGAGAATGGTATGAATGTTGGATTACTTATAAGTATAAGGTATTTAAAAAGCAAATAATTATTAAACTAAAAGTAACCAAAAATAAATTAATAATAATAATAATAATAATATATTTTAACTAAGATGGAAATTTAGTGGACAAATATCAATAAAAATCGTCGTATTAATGTGATAATTGTAGTTCAGACGAAAAACTATTGCTCAATGAGTTTATTGCAGTTATTGCTTCATTGGAAAATGAAGCAATTATGTGTATCGAAAACCCATCCTAAATAATTTAACCCATAAATATTAAAATTAACGGGTCCAAACAAAATAATATTTTACATCAAACATGTCAATTATATATTACATTATTCAGTCAAACAACATTACCTATCCATCCCAGTTTAGTTATGAAGCAGCTGCTTCAATAAAACCCGCATTTCATCGCCACTGTAAATGACAATAACTACTAATAATCGAACAGAAGACGTGTTTTACAAATTTGTTATCTACTTATGTTATTAATTGAATAATAGCTGCTGCTTACATGATAATATGCTGATCGTTCGATATACATATAGTTAATTTCCACGACTGTTGTTTGTGTACAAATACAATATTACAATTCATTGGGCCAACTATTTATCAACTATTGAAAACCTACGATGACACACATGTACGAGTGCATATGCTAAATTTTAATCACTTAAATTGAACGTACACATAGATAGTATAGCTGTTTAAAGCATCTTAATATCAATATTAAATACCTATATAATATAATATACGTTTCGTGTTTAAGAATTATGATGGTATGTAATTTCAGGAAAAAAATGATATAACAGGTACGATAAATAATATGTAATACGTAATTTCAATTTAAAAAGAAAATTAGCGAAACTACCAGAGAGATAAGAAGAACGAGAAGCTATGTCTTATAAGTCTCCAATAAGAATTAAATAAAAATACAAAGAAGCTCCGAGCGCTTAAAACGAAGCTGAGATCGACGTTTTCGACTTTCTCGAGAGCTCAGATAGAAGTACGATTACGCGTATTACGCTTCACACGACATTAATGTTAATCCACAGACATATAAAACAACTAAATAGCCGACTCGATATTATTATTATAGTAAAGTCGCCATATACGAAGCTGAGAATGTTTATATTATTAACCTAACCTTATCACAGAAAATATTTATATTATAAATCATAATTCTTAAAAACTACAAATAATTCAAAATTTCATATGCAAATTTATTTCAAATTTAGTCTTTACTTGTAATCATGAAATTGTGAAATCGACATTTCCAGTTCACATAATATGTGATTTTGTGAATTTTAAATGTTTATCCAACATTGATACCTAACGGTCCTAAAACATAATGCTGGTTATATAAGTCCAATAAATATCCATTTATTATAAAACATTTTTTTGTTAAGTTTAATAATACAAATACTATATATGTATATTGTATGTATGTTTTAACGATATCATTTTTATTGTACTAAATAAAAACTTAGTATTTGACATTTGTTTTTAAATATTCACTATTTGCTACTTTTCTTACATTTCTAATAACTAATTTCAAGTATATTAAATAAAATAAAAAATGTTTGTTAAACTTCATTATTCATACAATATAATTCACCATTATTTACATCATTTAGTCCCAGTGTCACACATAAAATGTTTCTCACTGGGATATCAATCATGTATATTACATACACAGGTATATGATATTGTTATTTATTTTAATATTACGTATTCACATTATCAATGTAAGTTATCATTACAAAATTTGTAAACATTGCCAGCTCTGCATATGGCGGCCATGATTCATGTCCTCCCGTAATGTTGAGTAGGAAGTCAGCTATCTAGTTGTTTTATACATCAGTGGTCGTATTCGAATTAAAATTTGCGCGGCCCGCCGACCGGCACGAAGGTGATACCGTCGTGTGATATCGCGGTGATAGATTATACGTGATGAAACATGGAGGTTAGAAAAACGAACACGCGCATGAAAAGCCAAAGAGAGATAAGAGAATAATCACAGCAATAATTGTTAATCATTATATCCACACGGTATGTTTTACACGTGAACGGTTTCGTAACCGTAAGGTTTACTTAACGATATTGCGTTTCGGTACACAATGGCGTGCGAAGGAAGAGTCGTATGTAGCAGCTGCCGAAAAACAGATTGTATTCGATGTCGGGAATAGCGGAATCACAAGTTCTTTGCAATACATTTTCGTTTTGTAAATAATAAGGTTTGATAACAACGCGACTCTCGTTGACATCATACCGACGCACAGGACCCGCGACCCGCCCTACCGCGACACCGGCAACCAGGCGGGTAACGCGTAAACCGCGCAACGTGCACGCACCGAACCCGCGTGAAAACCATCGAATTACGTATTCACACGGCGTCGTCGAAGACCGCCGAGACGATGGGCATTAATATTTGGGATTAACGGAGGTTGCAGCCCACCGCGATGTGTTCGCACATATGGGAGAATAAATAAATTGTCGAGTAATAATAATTGATTACTAGTAATAACAATAGTAACAATATCTAAAGACGTCTTCGAATATCTATTACGTTGTACTAAATCATAGTATAATATCTTATGAACTCACGTGTTAACTATCTATGCGCTTCGCACTCGCAGCTGAGTCCGTTGCGTTCGATTGCCGGTGTGGCAAGCGAGTTTGTGATTCGTTTCTGCGCGCACGAGCTATTTTGTAAAATACGCACTATCGCGGTAGAGAGAAAAAAAAAAAACTGTTTTCAAAATACGATTTTAATTCGTTCAGACGGTCGTTGTCGTCGGTGGTGGTGGTAGTGGTGGAGACCGTGTGCGGGAGACACGTCTGCGTACCGTCGTGCGAAGTATGAAACTGAATGAACGTTCAGCGCATGCTATTGTTCAAATAGTGTGTACGCATCCAGAGACGCGTGAGTGGATTGGGCGTTGCGGACGGGACGATATCGGAGGTGGATTTCAGTAGGTTTTTTTCTTCTTTCTTCTTCTGCTTACACGCTACCGTTCCCTTCGCGAAATCCTCTATCTTATGCGCGCGACGCAACAATAATAAAAATACCCCGGCACGTGTTTGGTTTATACCTATGACGTGCGTTCCCCTTCAATTCTAATATTAATGCGAAAACACTGCACGTACACACAGAGAACGAGAGAGATAGAAATATCGCGATTTTATTGTACTACACGCGACGATGATGATGCACGGTGGCGTTGACGTATTTTTCTTGTCACCGCGTAATTATTGGACCAACTGATAGGGAATAGCTTACGTACCGGACGCCGGGCGGTGGCAAGGGAAACATATGGAAAAACGTATTATTATTGTTTACGCTTGGGCGAGCGATTCCATTTTCGGCAGAAACCGTACGACAGCGCCCCGGTCGCGATTGTGGTGCGGTCGCCGAAATCAGCTGATGTGCGATTCCACCATATCCATTTTGAGCATCAACATGCTAACAATTTTCAACTTTTCCACTTGTTTTTGTTTTGTCAGCACTTTTGCTAGATGTACCATAAACCTATCGTGAAAAAATGAATAATTTTATTACTTTGGCACAGTTTATATGGATAGCCTGGTGGGCTAAGAAGCACCTAGCTCCTCAAAGTGTTTTTTAATCACCACCTAATATTTAAGCCTATGGCTTTTGATTTAATATATTATTCTAAGCATGCAGTCATATATACAAATTCTAAAGCCATTTGTACTGTAAAATTGGTACGATTCATAAAAGAATATTTATTTATAAGTTATAAAGGATGTATAGGTACATATATTCGTCAGATTTTCGATTTTCGGTATATACCTAATGCGAAATATTATTTATATTTATAATTATAATTTATATATCAATATACGCTCCTAAAATGACTCTAATACCAAATGAAACTTTATTGGAAAAAATTGTTATGAACTATCAACTTGATAGTATTAAGTTTTAATGAAATATTTATCTGTTAAATATTACAGTGTACGCTGTGTTTATAGTATTTTAAGTTTAATTTAGTGTACCTATAACATTTAGAAAAATAGATGTAATTGAATATAATTTGAAGTATGGACATTCAGCCTATGGTTCTTAAATTTGCATCATGAAATTTATAACGCACGGCAAATGTATATCACGTGATGTTGTATTTTATAGTCTTATTAGAAAGTATAAACATGTAAGGGATTAATTAAATTTATTCGAGCGTAGTAAGAAAATAAAATTGTCAGATGAAATGAGAATTTTTTTTAGGATTAATTTCCATATTTTATTAATGCTTATACCAAAAATATATTAAAAATACACCGCTGCTTATCAGGTGCGTAGCTAGCTATTTTAAAAGGGGGACGTTATTCAAAATTGTACGTAACAAAATAAATATTTTACGTATACTTTATTATACAAGAATACAAACACATTAACTAATACATTACATATGAATATCCATCTATAATATATATTGTATGGGAAAGTATTTAAATATTTTATTAAAATTTCAAATATACATTTTTGTCATACCTATGTACCTATTTTAAATCGTGCATGATACGATATAAAACCACGGCTGTGGTTTATTAGACAAAACGATGTAATGAGAAGTCGGATCCCGGCTTAACATTATTATTATGTATATATTTCGTTATGATAAATATGTTTTCATTACGGTTTATTATAAATTTTTACCTTTATTAGACTTCAGTATACTATTAACGTGGTTAAGGGGGGGGGGTGTTCTACACCTGTAACACCCCCACTGGTTACGCGCTTATTGCTTATAACAATAATATAGATGTAAAATGATTCTCTACCAACATCACTATGCGCTATGAGATTGTAGAACTCAAAGTTTCCACTTATAATCATCTACGTAAATTATTAAGGGTACAGCCCCTTAATATTTTAGACGTAATTGTGTCAATTTAATTCCTAAATTAAAGAAGTCATTGTATCATAAATGAATCGGGTTTTCGATGGATTGCTATTGGATTTTAAGTATTTGAATGACGAATTTTTTAGTAATAATAGTGATAAGTTACAATTTTATTACATTATCGAATCGAATTAGATTATTTTCGAAACTTTTAAACTCGTAATATTTCAACTAAGAGTTGAGCTCATTTGAAATATCTAAATCACTAGGTACTAATTCTAATTCATTATTTTTACTAATTTAATGCATTTTCAAATTATCTCCTAAATTTTTTTTGCACTATAATTGTAGATTTTAAATGTAAACAACCGAAAACAATTGTAAAGATAAGAAATTATAAAGAAAATTATGTGAAATAAATAATACATAAAAATACCTATTAAACCTATAACTACGGCAAAAATAATGTTTTAAAGAAAGTACTCGTCAAATAGCATGAAAAATAATTTTAAACCTTAGATTTTAAGCCTTGGAAAACAGAATTAAGTTTTTTTTTTAATGAGACAAATGTCGCGCTCAGGTATCATATAAAAATGCATCATCAAACTAATAATAATTAATACACCATTATAATATCTGAGGATTTTAGTTGAACGAAATATTTTTTGTTGTTTTGTGGCATATTTCCATCCAGAATAATAAAATATTGTATTCATTTTGAAGTTATGTTGTATACCTTTTTTATATTGCTAATACGAGTATAATATCTACCATATTGAATATACTGCTATAAGTGTTTGCCTACATGTTACGTCTATGTCCACGTTTTTTATATGAGAATAAATCACAAGTATTAAAACCTGTTAAGTACAACGAAACACGTTTTTTCAATTCTGATAGAATCTTAAATTACTATAACCTCGGCTCAATGATTAAAAAAAGTAAATAAACAATGTAATATTAAAATCATCAAATGATTAACCGTAAATTTAAATACTATTCGTACTTTTTTATTATTATTGATTTTCAATTCAAACAACAAATGTCTGTGTGTATTGTATATATAAATTTACACTTATACTGCCTATAAAGTTTTTATTTTTATTAATTAGTGCCTATTATTACCAAAATTCAATATTTTACAAATTTTACCTAATAATTTGATTTTATATAGAAAATAACAGGTTAGGAACATATAATCTATACAAAATGCTTTCTAGAATTTTTACATTTCTTTGAAAACATTTTAGTATATATTTATCATTATATATCAACATATTTTGTCAATCAATCCTCTTCCTGCAGCAAATATTCTGAGTACAGCCAGAAATAATTAAGTGTAAGTATTTCACAATACACTACGAAATGTGTTACTTTAGATTTGTATTGCATTACATTGTTACGCTTATTATCATTTAAAAATTAATAACTAATTAGACTGTGTATTCAAGTTAAAAACGAAAAATAAATTATAGTATAAATAAACGACCTCTAGCAAAGATATATCCCGTTGTTAATTTAAATTATTTTTCTACTTTTATTTAATCAGCAATAAATGTCTGCTGTATAAAAAAGGCTATAATTAAGAGATAACTGCAATGATATTGAAATAATATATCCACGAAAAATTCGTTAAAAAATAAGTATCTATAAATAATATAATACTTACAACGGTACAAAAACAACCCAATATTACATTTAATACAAAGATACACATATTTTACACAATATTTTACCCATTTACGGATTTGATTGTATGATGTACTAAATTTACTTCATTTATTAATAATTATTATATTAATTAAAATAGTAGTTTACCCTTATAGCGTTATAGCGTCTTCTAATTTTTGTTTTTACAAGCAATATATATTTTAATATAAATCAGATGGGTGGGTAATTTCTTTAATGGTAATTTATAAAAATCTTAAATTTTTAATTTTAACTACATTTTTTTATATTTTATTAAAACTAAATCTTTGGTATATTATTGATTCCTTTTGTAATTCATATAACTGCTAACATAATATTATATACTATGATGTTATATTTAACTTTTAAACGTGTTACTATCAAATTATCATTATTATAATTATTAATTATTTCAATTATAATTATCCTATCGAAATTAAAATGTACAATATAATATAGTAAAATTAAAATGTTTTAAAGCGATTTTCATGCAATTTTTCAAAATGTATCAAATGGTTTAAATATTCATCGCAATATTATCTACATAAGTCTCGCGATTAAGTAAAAGTTAATTAATAATCTATTGATTTTTATAACGAAAATATGCATTACCATAAACTGGATTCAACGGTGCTCGTTTGTTCTTATATTATATCATTGATTTAAAACTCATTTACATAACTATCTACTTTTTGTGTATAATTGTTATTTATATTGACCGATTAAACTTAATATTTTTTAAATAATATTTTATAGTGCTCAGTAAAACAAAATGTTAATTCAAAATCTAGCAACTATAAGTATAAAAGATTATGTTATTTTATAATTTTTCTTTCTTATATAGTATCCGTTGTAAAATCTCTATTTTAAATTATGTCAATTTTTAAGCAAAGTATTTTTTCAACTAATCATTTTCTAAATAATTGTTAATAATCGAATGAAATATTAAATATACAACACAAAAATGGGTTTATATTATTTTGGTACCTTCAGTATTTAAAGTATCATAATAAACATTTTGTTTTTAATGAACTATTAAAATAGTATTTAAGTTATTTAAATACAAAATAATAAGAGGTGTGTTTAATATAACATTTAATACATCAAAGTCCTATTTTAACGTTAAATAAAAAGAAAAATATATTTATAATACGATAAATATTATCAACAAAATAAAAATAAAAGTAACTTAAATCAAACAGAATATTATCGTAAAATATGATACTTAAATTTATCTTTTTGTTTAAAAAATCAAATCAACATGCAATAATAACTTAATTTATAATATGTAAATACATTCAATGGAAACAGTTATTGCTAATTTATTATGGTTTTTTTTATAAATATATGTAATCTTTCTACCAAATAGTAACGAAAATTAAAAATTATTATTAATTAAGAACATATTAATTTTAAATCAACATATTTTTTAAAATTTTAAATAAAATAATAGTTGATTAAAAAGTATTGGATGTTTTTTATCACATCTATAAAATGTCTAATTAATAATTTATTACAATTTAACTGCCTTTTATCAAACTCTCTAATCATGATAACCTTTACTAAATTTACCTATTGTGTAATATATAAACAAAATGAAATAGGATTTATTTTGTAAAATAGAGTTT